GTATCAAATCTGTTCTTCAGATGATCTCTAAATTCAGGTGGGATATATTCAAGGTCATATTTTGGCTCTCATGGACTTGTTTTCATTTTCTTCAGATGAAGATGAAGAAAGTCTTCTGGGCGGGCCCAAATCAGGGGCCTACAATCTGGGCTGAGTGGATAACTGGGCCTAGAAAGAGGGTCCCTGGCCAGTACTACCAGGATTGGCGAGCCCCACAGGGGTAAGTGAGCGCGTCAGCATCTAGGATACAGACCCTTAGTCAGCTGGTTGACCCTATGTCCCAAAATAGCGCAGAGGGAGTTACCTCTAATTCGAGAAGTTGTCTGCGTGCTTGAATTGACTGTGAATACTCTGCCTCATTAACTTATTAATAAAAACTAATGAGGTAGATCATCTCCCCTTCTGTACTTGTCCAGGCCGCACTTCCTCACAGATAATCCCCGCAACTTATTTGTGCCCTTCCTGACTTCTAATTTTTTTTTTTTTTAGAGCTGATCAGTCTATAATAATTTTTCAGTTACTTAACATTGTATGTCCTGGCGTCATGCCGTAGAATAAGCACTGCACTGATAACCGCAAGGTCAGTGGTTCAAACCCACCAACCTCTCCTTGGAAACCTTATACAGGGTTTCTATGAGTCAGAGCTGACTCCAGGGCACTTAAAACACATGTTATGTTTGACAGCAAAAAACTACTACTTCCCACCCCATCGGTGGTGCAGTAATATTCTGCAAATGAAAACTTGCTTACTGGATCTAGCCAAATTAAGCATTCAGGCAGTATAATCATGAAGAGGGAAGGAAGACTAGAATGACACAATACTTGTGGGAACCTCATCAAAGCAAAGGTGAATGGACAGATTGAGCTGAGTCTCCCAAAGATGAGTAAAGGAGACCTGTAACCTAAGGAGTAGAGGAGTCACTTCTTAGGGGCACCAAGTATCTTTCTGTTAATGATATTGGAATAATGTAGAAAGAAATGACGGTAATGGTTGCACAACATAACATGGTGAACATAATCAATGTCACTGAATTATACAAGAAAAATTACATATATATGCACACTCTACCAGGACATAGACACACTCTCTCTTCCCTCTCTCTCTAGCTCTGACTTGATATAAACAGTCTTTCTATCTAAATTTGTTTATATATATAATATATATATGTGTGTGTGTGTACGTATGTTGCTGTTGTTGTTAAGTGCCGTTGAGTCGGTTCTGACCCATAGCGACCCTGTACAGGGTTTCCGAGGCTATAAATCTTTACAGGAGCAGAAAGCCTTATCTTTCTCCCATGGAGCAGCTGGTAGTTTC